ATGGGATGGTGTAAGTAAAGGCACGGAAATGGAAGGGATCCCAAAATGAATAGGACATAAAAAGTAATGTCATTTGTCTAGAATTATATAAACAACAGTAATTTGAAATAAAACTGGAAAGATGGTTTGGAACCAAATTTTAGAAGGTTTTTGAGTTCTAGAATAATTTATTCCCTATTGTTTACTGGACAATAGAGACCCATTGAAAGTTTTTAAGGAGTAATGTGATCAGGGAAAACTTATCAGGCATATATGGAGTAGCTCTACTGAAGAAGAAAAAGGCTAAAAGCAAGAAGGCCTTATTAAAGACTTTCTGTATTAGTTGAGTCAGACATACACATATGAATTTGCCCACTGATTGGGCAGTGGGAATAAGGGAAGGAATTAAGATTCAAAAGATTACTTCAAAACTTTGTGCACAGGTGATTCAGAGAATGGTGGTACTGAAACAAATTAGGGGGGAAAGCAGATTTTTGGATTAAAATTATGTTTTGTTTTAGAAATATTGAACGTGGGTGCTAGATAGACATCCAGGTGAAAATTTGGAAATTGTTAGTCTGGAACTCAGCAGAAATAGTCATGTTATGGCTAGAGTTTTGGAAGATATCTGTTTTATGTCAATGGATGAGATTGCTTAGGAAGAAACTATGGAAGGAAAGGAAAGTGAAGAAAGAGATTTAGGGGATGCCCTTATTAAGATGGCTAAATGAAGAGGCACCAAGGCAAGAACAGTAAGAGAAGCAGGAAAACCGGAAACTTTAATGTCATGGAAACCAGTAGAAGTGCTTCAATAAGAAAGCAGTGGTCCATACTATGGGATTCTGCTGAAAGATCAAGGCGGAAAAAAATTGAGAAAATGCTATTGAGTTTAACCTGTAAATCATTGGAAGCCTTTGAGGGAATAATTTCAGTGAAATCATGGGGATCAAAAGCTAAATTTTAAGGAATTCAAGAGTAAGGAAGGAAGGAAGCGAAGATAGTATAGACAAGAGGTTTTTGCAACCAACTGTTGCAGTGCTCCAAAAAACAACTTTAAAAAAAAAGCCTCTCACAGGATGATAAATCGGCCCATGTTCCTATTTGAGGGTAACGCCTCTAGTCTAGACCATTCTTTTAAGAAGTTCAGCATTAACAAGGAGAGAAGGGGTGTTGTGGTAGTAGAAAATAAAAGTTGACAATGAAAGTTTGTGTGTGTGTGTGTTTGTGTGTGTAAGTATTATTTTTGTTGTTTTAAACCCATAGTAAAATGGGAATATGCAAATTAATTACTTATTATTTATTAATTTATTTTAAACGTAAATACTAAAACTTAAATGCCCAATAAGAAAAGAAAAAGAAAAATTATAAACTTAAATACAAAATAAGAAAACAGAAAAAAAGCATTGCCGTGTGCAACAGCAGAATGTAAGAGAAGATTCAAAATACACAGCAATAAATTTCCATTTCAAGAAAGCTTATATGATAAATACTACACGTTGTGTTCAGAGCTTCCCATTTTTTTTTTGCTTCGTTTCTACTGTGCCCTTTTTACTTTGTTCTTTTTCCCTCGTTCCTCCCCCCCATTTTTGTTATTTCAAAAATTGTTTACCCCATAGCATCTCAAAATAATTAGAATAAATTTGATCTTTAGTTCATTTGGAGATAATTTTAAGGTTTTTTGCTTCAAAGAAAAGTAATTAAGTTCGATGTATCCTTTACTGACATAAGTGGTTGTTGTCATAAGTATAACTGCCATAGAATGACCATTAGATTCTGTGATTTCTAAGGAGCAATAAATATACAATATGAAACTGCATGTACCAACTCTTTATTTCCTTGCTTTGTAAGTGTCATTCTAACACACCATCACTTAATTGTATTTAAATTTTTTATTCTTTTTTATTGGAGATATACGTATGGTTCCTTGCCAGACATTTGTTTACCATGATAATGTCTGAGTTTTATTGTGCCAGCTAATAAAGGGATTTTAGCCTTGAGTATTTTTGTCATAATTACAGTGATTTGGATTAAATAAAAATAGCTATTTTTCTTAAAATGGCACACTTCCATTGTCCTTATTCCAAATATCTTTTCAAAACCTTAATTCTTTCTAATATTTGAAAGAAAGCTACTATTTTAGTATTACATTAGCGTAGACCTTTTTTCTGTTCTTTAAGAGCAATTAATTCATAACACTGAAGCATTGTAAAAAAAAAAGTCAGAGGGGTGTGTGTGTGTGTGTGTGTGTGTGTGTGTGTGTGGCTCAGTTCCAAGCATGATTCACATTTTAGGCTATGATATCATCCTTAAATTTAAGTGCTTTGACAGAGAAATAAACACTTGGAGAAGTAGCAAAATAAAATGGGAAATGAAATGGGGGAAGATAGAAAAATAATATTTTATTTTAAGATTATCATGAATTCTATGTGATTCAGAGTATGCTGTCATTAAAGTGACAGCTTAAGAAAATTTTTGTCTTGTTTTTGTTAATAATGCTAATTCTATTTAGAATGCACCTGTTTTCATTTTTTTGTCACTTTAAGTAGATTGTCATATTTTTTTTAAGCTCTATTTCAGAAATTGGAGGTGCTGAAGCAAAAATTAACTTTTTCTGAAATTCAAATTTAGACCATGTCATACTTCTCTGAACTCTATCCTGAACCAAAAGCAGGATACTAGAAAAATAAAGATGGGTGGGGAGGAACGTGGTAGCAATCTTATTGGTGTCAGTCACACACTATAAATGAACTGTACTCTTACAGAAAAGAGAGCGTAAGTGATAATCAGGACCTTCTCTAACTTTCTTCCTACTTGTTCTAGTACTATCAATCTTTCTACCAAATAATTTTGCCATGGGAAAATTTGGATCGTGAGCCTTATGAATGACCTCAAAGATTCATTTTTCTTGTTCATCTGGTTCATAGTGTGCTCTTCTCAGTTCTGTAACCGCACCAATGTGCTTATAGGTCTTTTAATACAGCCTTTGGTATTGAGAGGCAGATTTAGTCTTGAGCTATGGGATCTATCTAAATCAACCTAAAACTGGGATATTTTATATCTAATATGTCAGCCTAACATTCATTCATTATGCATTATTTTTGGCTGCCTCATATGAGTGTTCTGCTGTGATATTAGAGTCTATGCTTAGAACAAGGTTTTTTTGTTTTTTTTTTTTCCTAGTGCTTCAGTCTAAATAATCACCTTGGGTATCTAATATTGAATATTATACCTCTGTTTTAACAAAGCATTTGGTAAAGGCTTTCATGTTACTCTTGTGAAAAAAAAAAAGAAAAGAAAAGTGTGGATTAGATCAGAGGTGTCAGACAAGCAGTCCCACTTGCAACATTCCCTTGTGCCACCAAACCCGATTAAAATGTAATTGAGAAATATTTAACAAAATAAAATTTAAAAATACAATGGAAATTAGATAATGTTAATATGTGATTTTCTAAGTCAGTATTCACCTATAGGTTAGTGATCCTTGTTTCTATTGAGTTTGACACCACTGGGTTAGATGACAATACAGTTAAATATATCATAATTGTTTAGACTCAAACAGTAATTATGAAGTGTTCATTCTCAGCTTGGAAATTGTCAGCAGAGTGCCCCCAAGGGAGCTGTGTTTGACTCTGCCGTTATCAGTGCTGTTATCAGTGACTTAGATAAAGGTATAGATACTATATTTATCAAATATTCATATGGCAAAAGTTAGGAAGATAGCTAATATGTATGAGAGAATTAAGAAATATCTTGAAAGGGCAAAACATTGGAGTGAATTCTGTAAGGTGAGGTTTAATAGAGATTAATCAGCCTCCCTAGTCAAGACATTGAAGAAGTGGCTTGATATTTTTTCATCTGAAAAAGATCTGTGGATTTCAAGAATCACAGAATCTGATTTAAAAGAGATTTCAGAGGTTCCCTAGAACCAACATCCCGTCTTTACTATCCCAGCAGGTGGTTGTCCAGCATGTCCATTTGTCCTCTGCCTGTGTATAGGATCCATACAGATTCAAAATTTAGTTTTGTTTGGAAGTGATTACAGTTCTTTTTTTCTATAATCCTCATCGTTTGAGCAGACTTTGTCTAACCAGATATGATTACTTAAGCCAGTGATATAAATACTAACTTATGTCCAGGGCTTAACAAGAAGCTAGCCCAGTTAAAATCATTTGCTGATTATTTTTTTTATTTTTAAAATATGCTTTATTGATGTGTCTTCTCTTTTTATCAATGTTCATTAAGTGAATTTAAGAAAAATAAACTATAACCAACTTATTTTGTTGTCTTGTTTTTTATTTTTGTGTGTGTGTGTTTTTTTTAAGGGAGTTTGTGTTTGGAGGGAAAGTACTTGAGTTTTCATTAAGAATTTGAAATGTTATTATATGGAAGGAGGGCTTAATTAAAGTTCTTCTCCAAGGACGGAACTAGGGGAAGTTGGTGTAAGTTGCATAAAGGCAAATTTAGGCTTCATATAGGAAAAAAATTCTTGGCCACTAGAGCTGTCAAAAAGCTTAGATTTACCTTGGGAAGTTGCTAGTTCCCCATTATTAAAGAACTTCTGATGTAGTAGAAAGAGCATTGGGTATAGAATCAGAGGTTTCTGCTACGTAGTACCTTTCTGTCAAATAACTGAAGTCTCTCTGGCTCAACTATCAAGTGAGGAGATTGAACTAGATAAACTCAAAAATCCCTTCCAGCTCTAAATCCTATGGTCCTCTGTTAGGGATGTTACAGAGGGGTATAGGTAGAACTAAATGGCCACTGTTTTCCATTTCAACTGTGGGATTATCTGATCTTTTGATTATAAAGAAGTAGAGAGCATAGGGGATGAGATAATGAAAATGGGATTCATGCACATGTAGGTGGAAATTTTGTGGGCCTGTTGGATTTCTGGAAACTGGAAAATTTGCTCCCCATTTCAGAAACTCAAGGAATTTGAGATTATTTTCATTTTCTTAAAATTCATTTAAAACTTATCTTTGGTAGAATTAATTAAATATCTCTTTACATTTCTTTTGTAGGCCATATACACCGATGAATGGAGGACTCTCCAATGTGTGGTTTGACAGATATAAAATATCAAATGATTGCCCAGAACACCTTGAATCTATTGACTCAATGTGCCAAGTTCTTACAAGTTTGATTGATGAAGAAGTAAAAAATGGCATAAAGAAGAGTAGGATACTAGTTGGTAAGACATTCTAGTGTCAGTAATATATATAAAAGATATATTCACATATATCAAAAATATACATTAAACTATATTTGCAGTATTATATTTAAGCAATTTATGCCTTTTTATCAATAAAAATAATGTATAAATTATGCTAAACTATACATATTTGTTTTCAGTTTAATTTTATAAATATTTTAGCATGACAATTGAATTTTACTTTTACATGGTATTAGAAGATATACTTTGAGGTAATAATGTATATTTTAAGAATACCAACAAATTTTTTTCTCAACAAATCATCTTTAGCTAGTACATTATACATTTCAAAACTTCTGGGAGAAATTCATATAATTTCTCTGAGTAATTATTTAAGCAAGTGCAAGTTGCAGTCTTTAAAAGGATTTAAAAGAACACACGTGAAATTTGTTAAAACTCAAGGCTCTTCAAAACCAGTGGCCTATAGATATAGAATTTGGGCACTTTCATGTTAAACATGACTAAAATTTTTCGTTCTTAAATTGGTTTTGAAATAATTTGATATTAGATCTTACTTCTTTATCTATAGCTATCAAAACCCTGATTTATTATGTTTCCCCCTTTTCAAATTAAAACTGACAGAGAAAGAAATATTCTTGGTAAAAGGTAAGCTTGATTCTAAAGAAATTTGCAATAGAAGCTAATCACAAGGAAAAGGAATGCCCTCCTATTTCAAGTAAGATTTTAAAAACAGAACATGTTTGAGACAAGGTTTTAGGGAATTTAAACAAATTGTGTTCATTGAGCTAGGAAGAGATCACAGTACTTGCTAAGCTGCTTGAGGAAATTAGAGGTTTTCTTGAATTAGAGTAGCATTTAAGTCATTGACAAGTAGGGGAGTCAGAGTAATTAGAATTATGCACAAAATTGTATTCAATTTTCTGTTGTACATTTCTTGAAAATTTCTCCAAGTTATTAACTTAGTGGTAATAGTGTTCAGTATAGATAGTAATTTAGTTGAGGTGCATTTTTTAGCTTATACCATGTGCAGGAAATAACTGTGTTTTATTCTGTGAGGGCAGAATAAATATCAATAATGTGCCTTTCCCCATCAAATGCAATTAAATTTAACACATTTTTATTAAACTTTTACTATGTGCCATCCATTCAGTTACCTAGAACAGGATATATCATCATAGATAACTGTAATTCAGGCAGATTAATAATGCACTTAGGAGAGGTATGGGGGGGTATTCAGAACATAGAGTGATAGATCCCAACCAAGGGCCTCAAGGAAAGCCATCCCAGAGGTAGTATTTGAGTTGGATCATGAAGAATGAGTATTGTGACTGTCAGATCTGAGCGCAAAAGAAGGAATTTTATTCAGAGAACAGCAAGAACAAAACATTGAGATAGTCCTCATCAGGAGACAATGAGTACTCTAGGACTATGTAGGACATTAGGGAGAATATTAGATTAGAAAGGTTAGTTGGAAACAGATTGGATGGTATTGATTGCTGGGCTTAAGAAGTTAAATATTTTTCTATAGATAATAGGAACCAGTGTGGAGACTGCATTGATAGAAATTAATGACTCTTAGGATGTGGGGAAATGTAGAGGGAGAAGTTAAATCCTGGTTGACTTAGAGAATATTTCAAGAACCTTTAGAGTTCATTGGTTTGTGTTAGCCCCTCTCTTTATACAGATACAGTTGCTGTAGTTAAAAATAAATAAATAAAAATTCAACATCCTAATATGTCAACATATTAGACATACTCTATAGAACCTCTTAGACATACTCTTCATAAAACAAGCACACAATTTCTTACCAGTTTTACACTTAAAGCCTTTCCAGCTCAACTGGACCTGCCAGAGGTTTTATTCTCCTGGTTTATTCTCTGAGCATCCAAGATCACCTCTATGCCTTGATAAAGTATTTAAGAAAGGACACCAGCCAAACTGGAAGAATACCAGGCTTTGAGAATCTACATCCTGATCACACTTTACTTCAACAAACATTTTTTAAATACCTCAGTTCCACCTAGACTCATAGTAACCCTAGTCTTCAATGTAGTGGGCTATCATTGCAAGACCAGGATGACAGTGAGTTACTTGATAAAATGGCTCATTTTCTTCACTGTGCCCTATAGCCCCACTGCTGCAAAAATAATTTGAATTATTCAAACAGTGGATCTTTTGGTTTCACAGATTTTCCTCCCATTCAATCTCAAAGGGCTTCAGTTCATATCAGATTTCTTGACCACCCTATTCACTTCACTTGGGGTCAAAATTCAGTTGTCCCCTTTGTGCCATTACCAATATAATATGCAGATGAATTATATTAATAATACTCCTAGAGCATTCTCTCTGATACCATACCACGTGATACCGGGGCAGTTGAACTACGATGTTTTACACTGGTAGAGTTCTACCAAGATAAGTTTGTATCTCCACCAAGAACATACTCTTCAAACTATGGATGGATTCTAAGTTCACTTTAACATCTTCCAATAGGACCATAGTCCTGGCACTGGATAATTACATAGAAGAAACCACTCAAGCACATGTACAGGCCACCCTAGAAGCTTTTTTTTTTTTTTTTTTTTTTTTTTTTTTTTTTTTTTTTTTTTT